TAAAATATTATCAAACATGCTGTGAAAATTTCCTTGCTCTGTTAAACATCATTTGGGAAATATTAAAAAAAGAAAATCAAAGGGGCGCTAATAATTCTGACTTCAACTAATGTATATATATATATATATATATATATATATATATATATATATATATATATATAAGATCTCCTCTAATGTAGAATATATATATATATATTTGTATTACAGTGACGTCTGGTCGCTGGGCTGTGTTTTGTATGAACTTTGCACCCTCCAACACCCGGTATGTTCCTCTTAACATCCTCTTGATATTATTGTTACAGTGATCAAGAAAACTGCATTTATTTGATTAAAAACACAGAAAAGTGAAATTTTCTGTCAAATCATTATATCTTGGACTGGAGAATTCTCACAACTCCACATTTGTCCGTGACTTGCCATAATTGTGATGAACTGTCCAAAAGCTTTTTCTCATCCCAGATTGTATGTCACAGCTGACTACGGCAGCTGGTTTACTCCAAAAAAGCGTAGTACATTTTGCATCTGGGTCAATTAGAGGTCAGTTCACATTCTCACCACAAACAAAGTAAACGCTATAGGTTTCGTTTAAAATCGAGACCAATTCTTTCAATAGATCTTTGTATTTGGTCTGCTTTTGGTGTGCACCCAAGTACTATTGCTGCTTTCATAACTGAATTAAATGAGGTCTGTAAGCATTCTTAAATGTAAATACCATTTCACATTGTTACTGGGGTTGTATTTTTGATCAAATAAATCCACTCTTGGAATAGCTTTCTTCATTACAGCAAAATAAAAACCCAAACATCTGACTAGTACATCAGTGTAGAAAGTTGTAGTCTATTACGTTGTGTTTTTGGCCACCTAATGTAACCCTTTCAGATTTAGTTTTACCGCAGGTGTTTCTTTGCTCAGTTTCAGGCACGGAGCTGGAAGAGTCTGATCCTGCAGGTCTGTCGAGGGTCATACGCTCCTTTACCAAGTCATTTCCCTTATGAGCTGCACTACCTCATCAAACACATGTTCAAGACCAACCCTAAAGACAGACCCTCTATCCACACCATCCTGAGCTCCCACCGCGTGTCCCGACTGCTGCACAAACACCTTACACTTGAGGTATTTCAAACACCTACAAATAAATGAGAGTTAAGCCTGGTTTATACTTCTGCGTCAAGTGACCGGCGTGACCCACGCCGCATGCAACGCGCGTAGCTGTGCATTTATACTTCTGCGCGCTGATTCTGTTGGTCTGCATTAACACTTCCTAAACACTAGTGGGCAGTGAGGTGTTAATGTTCCTCTGTGTCGAGTTTCTTCGCTGCTGTTTTGTTTTTTCTGAACGCTTTTTGGATGTACAAGCGGCTCAAACTCGCTCATTTTGAGGCAGGAACCGGCAGACATGCAACAACTTTAACTATGACGTAAACACAAAACAAAACTTTCCTTCACGGGACTCCACACTTGTAAACAATCGCTCCATCGGGCTCGCGCCACTCGCACGGCTCTCGGTCCCGCCCAGACTCGTCAGCGCCACCAAGCCGACCAATCACAGAGCTTGCGCTACGCATCTTTGCGACGTGTAGTTACATTTTTGAGAGGTGCACGTCAGCGATGCCGACAGCCTCGGCGTAGGGCTTTGCGTCAATGCGTAGGCTGCTCCATAGCAAACGCGTGTGCTTGACGCAGAAGTATAAATCAGCCTTGAGAATGCAGTCCAGTGCCCGGTTGCATGGAAGTCCTTAAGTAATTTTGATCACTTAAAATTGTTAGTGGGAAATGGTACTACAGACTTTCTCAGCTACGTTTAAGGGAACACTTGAATCATTAAGGGGAAATACTCAATGGCAGCCTTAAATTCCGTACGTTGACCCTTAGATTTTTGTTTTTGCAATCCAAGTTTTACTCTGGGTACCTTCAAACTAAAGCCTCCTTTTCACTGCACACGACAAACGACAAGCGACAGACCGTAAGTCATTCATTTCCAATGGAGAGTAGTCTGGGAGCTGCGTGAAGTTACGATCATCTCCGTATGTGGAAAATTCGTATCCAATTTGAGCTGCGGATCTGTTGAAATAATTGAACTCCTGCGACCGGCCGACCGGGTGTGATGTATTCCAGTGTTTTCCAAGCAGGTCCATGTGCGCGAGATGAGAAATAGAAGTTTATTTGGTTATTTTTTTAATCAGAAAAAGTCTTATTTAAAAAAAAAAAAAACATTTCTATTTATAAATAAAAAAGTACAAAAAAATTAATGATCACTTTTTTTTGTATTTATTTGTATTTTTTTTTTGTATATGCTGAATATTTAACAATTAAAATAATACCAAAATCATCGCTCTTTATCTAGTATTTTTTAAAGGGAACCAATTGCACCCGTTGCGCTTCCTCTAGGCACGGTAGCTTTGCGCAAGTAAATGGGAGTGCGCGCATGCTTTTTAACGCGAGTGATCTCACTCTCATTCTGTATTCACCATTCTTTTGCTCGTGTGAACAGTTATTTTTGTCAGTCGTGCTGCTTCTCGATTCATAGATCACATTTGCACGGATATTGGGCCATGCATATTGTCGAACCCTAATTTTAAGAAAACTACTATTTAAAAATGATTTCCAACCAGCCAAAATGGCTAGTGGAGGTGTCTGTCTAACCCAGGGGTGTCAAACTCAATTCCTGAAGGGCCGAAGCCCTGCACAGTTTAGTTCTAACCCTGCTCCAACACACTTACCTGTAGGTTTCAAACAAGCCTGAAGGACTCAATTAGTTTGATCAGGTGTGTTTAATTACAGTTGGAACTAAACTGTGCAGAGCTGCGGCCCTTTTGGAACTGAGTTTGACACCTGTGGACTAACCCGCCAGAGCTGAAATCTACCCGCGGGTGTTAATGTAAAGCCCTGATTAAAATATTCTCTTTTCGTTTTGTGGACAGAATCAGGAACTGCTTCAAGAACGAACACGGCACTGGAGGAGAGAGGAAGGAGAGAAAGTGGCCGTGTTTTTAGGACAGAAGAGCTTACTGAACTCCTCCTCTGCTGAAGGTACACGTTTGCTTAAAGCTCTTCTCATTTTCATTCAAACCTGACCTGTAGTCAATCAGCCTGTTTTATTGATGTGTGCAGGAGCATTTCATGCAGGACAGTCCCTCTGTGAAAACAGCAGCAGTGATGATCCAGCATCCCGTAAGAAGTGGGCAGTCGGAGCATGTAACACTGTGCTGGGGGTCCTAGAAAATGCTGACATCATTTCCACTGGAAGCACGGCAACTGCAGAGCGGCCTGACCTCATCTCTGGTACAGTAACACAGATGCCCCTTTCACACATACTGACCTTTCCGGAAAACTACCGACAATTTTCCGGAAAGGTTGCATGTGTGAACAGGCACTTTTTGAAAATACCGGTAAATTCGTTCTGGCTATTTTCCGGAAAGAGAAGTTCTAATATTACCGATAATTTGCCAGAATGCTGCGCTGTGTGAATGCAGAAGGAAGATTGCCGTAATAAGCGTGTCCACGTCTAGAGCGTGCTGACGTAATACACCTGCTTTAGCCAGTCAGAACAGTCAGACGCATTCACGTGCGCGTGGTTTATGAGAATAAAAGCCTTTGAATATTTTTCCAGACACCTTTAGCTGCTAGATGTTAGTCAGATAACGTTTCTATGTTCCTTCTTAATGCTGACTATGTAAATAATTATCGATAAAATGTTTATGATAATCTGTTGTTTGTTTACCTTCAAGCTTTGCGTGTGCCCGTGAGCGCCCATAGCGCCAGCACACACACATATCATGCACATC